GCCAGGAGTCATGTTTTTAAATGTAATTGCAGGAGAAGTTAGAGCGCAGCTGCGTGCCCATGGGAACCCCTAATAGAAACGACAGCATTGGTTGGGAGAATGTTAGAATAGCACCGGTCCTAGGGGGCGGGCGGCTGGGGGCTGCACAGCCCAGGGCAGGAATGGCCAAGCTTATCTGCCCCCTTTCTGGGAGAAGTGCCCAGGCCTCTCCGGGAAGAGATAAGGATTCCTCCTGAGGGACAGCAGCACGTGGAGCTGTGCACCTCCGCGGAGGCTGATCCAGGTCTGATGGGCTCCTCCCGGGCGCTCCTATGGACCATGGGGTTCCTGTCCTTGTCCTCCTCCCTGTGGCCTTGAGTGGGTCTGGGCTTCAAACTCCTCACTCATAAACTAGGATAAAAATAATGGATCCCTGCTGTCACATTTGCAGGGCCTGGGACAGGGGTACAAATGGCGATCCAGGCACCATGTGAATAAATAAAGTCATAAACAAAGCCAAGTGAATGTCTGTGGAATACAACCCCCCGCCCCCTACTTTGCAGATACATCTTCCTGCCAGCCTGGAAGCCAGGATTGCACTTGGAACCCTGGGGCTCCTTGGCCAGGATGAGATGTCCCAGCCCCAGCCAGCCTCCTTCCCTGGCCTGTCTCACGCTGGGAGGAACCCAGGATAAGCGCATGTGTGCCTGGCGGCACAGCCAGCCTCCAGCCATGCTTCCTATTGACAGCTGGCCTTTGCCACAGGGCCTGCTGTGGTTTGCTCTTGGGAAGCAGACCTGGAGCAGAGGCCCCTGCAGGCCTCAGAAGTAGGCTTGGGCTGCTTGGGTGGGGAATTCTGAGCTCCCCAGATCTGGTAGCGTGATCTAGAAGTGGTGTCCCTTGGCCTGGAGGACTGCTCACCCGGAAGCCGGGGCACAGCCAGAGGAAGAGCGGTATGGGGCCCTCTAGGGTGAGGTCACAGGGTGGGGCTCCATCGAAGGCTCACTGTGAGGAGTGAATCATTTACTCTAAGCCAAGGACTTAGCACAGTGCCTGGCACATATTAGGTGCTCAGTAAAAGCAGTGTCTTTTTTTGTTGTTGTTGAGATAAGATCTTGCTCCGTCGAGACTGGAGTGCAGTGGTGTGACCATGGTTCACTGCAGCCTCAATCTCCCAGGCTCAAATGATCCTCCTGTCTCAGCCTCCTGAGTTACTGGGGACCACAGGCATGTGCCACCATACCCAGTTAACTTTTAAATTAAAAAAATTTTTTAATTCTACTGCCTCAGCCTTCCTAGTAGCTGGGATTACAGGCACATGCCACCACACCTGGCTAATTTTTGTATTTTTAGTAGAGACAGAGTTTCACCATGTTTGCCAGGCTGGTCTCAAACTCCTGACGACAGATGATCTGCCCACCTCAGCCTCCCAGAGTGCTGGGATTACAGGTGTGAGCCACCGCACCCGGCCCATTTTTGTTGTTTCTAATCTTAGTCCCTACAGAATTAGGCAGGGCCTCCCACAACCCGGCTTGGCTGCCTCTCCGCCCTCACCCATCTCACAGCCCACCCAGACCCTGTGCCCACTGACAACGTCCCCGGCCCCATGCCTCCCAGTACGTCTGACCCTGGCATTGTGCTTCTGGGGCCCGGGAGACCCTCCCTTCTCTTGGCCACCACGTGGGCTTCTCATGCCTAGTGCCAGCATTTCATCCTGGGAGAGGTCCTCTGGATTATCCCCCTTCCTCTGGGCATGCAGGTCAGGCTCTCAGGCTTGTAGGAACCTGGGTGGCAGCCTCTTACTCTGCAGGCAACTGTTCCATCCCCACCAGGCTCTGGACACCTGGGGGCGGGATTTGGGTTTATTCCCTTGGCTCCCCTCTGCTCTGCCCAGTCTGGCGGGCAGCCACGTGCCAAACTGATTGTTGAGTGGAGGAATTTAACCTGGTGTTCAGAAATCTCTGCTGGAATTTTCCACTGAGATAAGCAAGGGTAAAGGTTTGAGGCGAGGCAGACACCACAGTTCCTGCTTATCTGAGAGGCCTGAGGAGATAAGGACATTCTGGAAGAGCTGAACCTCAGATAATTATCACTGATGAGTTCGATTCCCAAACGCAGCTCTGTAAAGGAGCCCCGAGGAGAACAGGGGGGTGGGCATCACTGCCCCAGAAAGTCCCCGCGGGTCTCGACCTATGGTTCCCTGGCCAGAGTGGAGTCACCTGGCCACTTCTGCAAGAAAGAAGATACAGATGCGTTAACAAGCCGAACCGCAGCGGGGTTTCCTCGCAAGGAACAAGGCGGGCACGATTCTGCGGCAGGCGGTTAGCAACGCCTGCTGCAAGCCCTGAGGGCGGCTTCAAAATCTGAAATATTTCTGCAGCAGCAGGCCTGGCTCTCCATGCAACCCCGGGGCAGTAAAGGGTGGAAATTTACAAAGGACTGACTTGGATAGAAAGGAACGCACGTGGAATCAACTGTCTCAGACAGAAAATCCCCTGTCACTGTCGATATGTGAGCAGAAACTGAGACATCAGTTGGCAGGAGGGTTCAGATTCTTCAGCCACTGGGTGGGTGGGCGCTCAGGCCAGATCCTCTCCAGGGGGCCTTCCAGCTCCATGGTTATGTAATTTTATGTGTTTTGGAAGGAGAATGTGTGAGTGCCTGCATACGTGGTCTGTGTAAGTGGCATTATGAATATTCTCCCGGTCAATGCTAATACGGAAAAGTTGATAAAACGCCTAGAGAGAAATATAAAAATCGGTAGAGCTGTATTAAGATAATATTAATTCTGGTCCTGTAAGTCAATTGCTTTTTCTCCGTTTTGCCTAATTGCTGCTACAAGCAATGATGATTGTGTGTGACACGTCTACACAGCATTACGGATACTGTCTGGACAGTTGAGTCCTGACCCGCCTTCCATGGGGTTTGTGTCTGAGCTTGATGTCCCATGTCCCCTCAGGAATGCACCTTCTGATTTTCACAAGTGCACCGCAGACTTCCTGCTCATGCCGGAGGGCTCTGTCTCGGCTCAGCGAGGGATCGACCACAGAGGCTGCAAGTGGAGGGAGGTTTGGAACCATCTGGCCCAGCCCCCTCACTTCGGAGGTGAGTAAACTGGTGTTGGGAGGAGGTGGCTGGTTCCTGAGGGAGGATCTGGCAGATTTCTCCCAGATGACTGTGCAGGAGGGGAGGCCATGAGCCCCCACACCCTCCAGAGTTTCTGGGTTCTGGCCTTTCACTGCATCCTTGGGCCCTCATGAGGAGAGTGTCAGGTTGCTTGAGATCAGCACGGGCTCCAGGCTCTGCCACACTGCCCAAGCAGGAGGCGGGCTCCGGCAGCGGGTCCCCTGTCACTTGCCAGCAGTTTGCCAGCCAGCGGCTAAGTCATCTGGGCTGGGAGGGCCTCCCTTGTGTGAGCTTCGGCTCAGGCACTGTGGGCAACGGATTCTAGGGTGGGCCCCAAGACCCAAGTCCCTGGTGGACACGTCTCTCTTGAGTGTGCGTAGGGCTGTAACTATGATGGTGTCACTCCTGAGATCCGGTTATATTACATGGGAAAGGCAAAGGGATTTTGAAGATGTAATGAGGTCCTTCATCAGTTGACTGTGAGTTGAGCAAAAGGGAGATTGTGCTGGGTAGACCTGCCCTGATCAGGCAAGCCCTTTGAAAGAGGGTCTAGAAGTCAGAGAGCATCTCTTGCTGGCCTTGAGAAAGCCAGCCGCCCTGTGTGAGGGGCCTTGAAGAGCTGAGAGCAGCTGCCCGCAGATGTCAGCAGGAACACGGGACCTCAGCCTACTGAGGGAACTGAATTCTGCCAACAAACATGTGGGCTCAGAAGAGGACCCTGAATTCTAGAAAGACCCTCGCCTTGACTGCAGCCTGTGAGAATCTGAGCAGAAGACCCAGCGAGGCTGTGCTGCGACTCCTGACCACAGGAACTGTGTGTTATTCTAAGCTGCTGAGTCAGTGGGTATGTGTCACACATCAAAAGATAACCGCACAGGCATTGACCCTGTCCACCCGGAGATGCTGGAGGTGCACTGCTGCTCTTACTGCAGGCCACCACAACACAGGGCTCTTTTCTCGGAGCTGCAGATGCTCTCTGCCCTGTCCCTTGCCACAAGTCAGACTTTCTTCGTGTGTTTTATCCCATGTTAATGAACCAGACCTTCTTCATGAGCATCCATCTAGTGGAAAACAGAAGAGGGGGGATTTTACATTTTAGCTCATCCGACGCTGCAGATTTGCTGCCCTACAGTAACGCACAATCATCAGGTAAAACGCGGCTTCTCCCGGCTGCTGCTGCCTTGCCGCTCTCTCACATGAACACTGGTGCCTGGGTTGGGAGCATGGCTGGTGACTTCATGGCGGTGTGGGGAGGAATGTGTGGTCCTTGGATCCATGAGAGGGCCTCAATTCCCCGTGGTCTCTGCTGGAAACGTCTGCCTGGACATCAGCCTCTGAGGCACCACGCCCGGCTTGCACCACCTCCTGAGACTGCCTATCTTGGTGGCTCCTTCCGCTGCCCCTGCCTGGCCGTCAGGGCCCCTCTGTACCCTCACCAGTCACTTCTGTGATCTTATACATGTGCATTGCTCAGGAGGTGGCTGGGGATGCTGCCTTGCACAGACAGCTCTGTGCTGTTTGGAGATTGGCCTGAGGTGTTCCAGGGGTCCCCTTTCCCCAGCTGGGACCCTCCCTCATGTGATGGAGGCTGTTACAGAATCACAGTTATTCTAAAACTGCCTTCTCCAGACAAGGCCTGGCTTCCAAACCTGTTGTCTGACTGTAGGCACAAACCTCCCATTTTGGGTATAAGAAGCTGGTTCTTAACCATTTTGTCTTTTTAATTTAAGTTTATTTTGAGACAGAGTTTTATTCTGCTGCCTAGGCCGGTGTGCAGTGGCACAATCTCAGCTCACTGCAACCTCTGCCTCCCAGGTTCAAGCAATTCTCCTGCCTCAGCCTCCCGAATAGCTATGATTACAGGCACTTGCCACCACACCCGGCTAATTTTTTTTTTTTTTTTTTTTTTAGTAGAGAGGGGGCCTTATTATGTTGGCCACACTCATCTCAAACTCCCGACCTCAAGTGATCCACCCAACTCAGCATCCCAAAGTGCTGGGATCACAGGACCGAGCCACTGCGCTGGCCTCTTTTTGCATTCTTGCTATAAAATTGGTGTCTGTGTCTTCCTCCCGTTCTGTGCTCCCCCAATCCTGCAGGAAGGTGAATTCTTCCAAGGGGATTGGGGCGAAGAGAAGCGCGTTGATTCAGCCCTCCGTCACACGGGTCACACCATTCCCAGCGTGTCATCATTCCCAGACCTTTGGTTACCAGCCTGGGGGCACAGGCTAAGGACGTCATTCAAAAAGATAGAGAGTCTCAAGTCTCCAGAGAGCTGGGGCTCAGCTGAGCATGCTGGCAGCATCCAGGGGGGTGGCCATGCCCCAGGGAAGTGGTGTCATGGAGGAAGAATCCCAGGGCAGGTGTGGATGCAGCAGAGCAACACTGCCCTGTGTTAGGACTGGCTAGTCCACCCTGCCGGGACGAGGGGCAGAGCTTCAGCAGAAGCCCAGGCCAGTGTCCCTCCTCCAGCATAAGAGTCCTCCACTCCCACAGGGAGAGGAGCTACTGTGATGGCAGAGCTTATTTCCCAGCAGCCCCATGGGATGGGACCCAAACTAGAAGTCAGGGTGTTTGGAGGACACAGAGTGAGCTGGCTTCCCACAAACAGGCTGCACGGAGTGATGTTCATGGCAACAGATTTCCGTCTCCTCAGCCTCAGGCCCAACCCTGCTACTCCAGTCGTGCTCAGAGACTCTGGAAATGTTACCTCAAGGAGACTCTTCTTTACCACCAAGCCAGGAAATTTCGAGACTGGAGTCTCCTGAAGAATGTGAGAAGACCCGGAGGAAGTACCACCTCCCGCTCTCCTGTGCCCCAAGCCTCCCAGGTCCACGGAAGCCTTGCCCACCCCACGCCCAGGTAGCAGCCAGCCCAGGGTCTGACCCTGGACTGGCCCACACTGAGTGGCCTCTGGGTCCAGTGCAGGGTTCAGCCAGGGTTGGCTTCGGTTGACAGTGGGAGGAATTCATTTGACCGAAATATTCTCTTCTCTTCTGGGCTGCTGGTTTTTCAAGTGCAACAAAGATTCAATACAGCTCTGAGGAAGAAGCCGAGAAAAACATTCCATGCCAGGTGAGACCCCGGAAATGACACCCTGGAACAAAGCTGAAAAATGGGCTCCAGTGGGTGCCAGCAAACCCAGGACTGGAATGTGGCTTCCGGCAGCGTGCAGGTGCTCCTGGGTCACCTGCACTGTGGTCCTGCCTCCCGCCCTGCCCCAGGTGACCACATGATCACCGTGGACTTTGCCTTGAAACCTTTTTGGAGGAAAATAAGCCTGACCTTGGGGCTGGCGGCCAGTGGGCACTGCCCTGGTCCAAGGCCGCTGCTCTTGACCTCGCTCTGCGGCTGCTTTTCATTGGAGCAGAGGCTCCTCCTGTCCCGCCCATGGAGGGAACAAACCTCCCCCTAGGCCAGAGCGAGGAGAAAGGGAAGACAGGTGGCACCTCTGTGGACTGGTGATGACAGGCTCTTCAGCTCCCTGCAAGTGACCGAGCCTGGGGAACAGGTGAGTCATTGCCTAAACCTCTGTGCACTGTACAGTGTCTGTGTGAGCACATGCCTGTGTCTGCCTCTGTGTCTGTGTGTCTGCCCCTGTGTGTGTGTGTGTTGGCCTCTCTGTGTGTGTGCGTCTGCCTCTGTGTATGTGTGCACCTGCCTCTGTGTGTGTGTGTGTGTGTGTGTGTGTGTATGTGTGTCGGCCTCTGTGTGTGTTTGTGTGTCTCTGTGTGTGTGTCTGCCCCGTGTGTGTGTGTGTGTTGGCCTCTGTGTGTGTGTGTGCCTCTGTGTGTGTGTCTGCCTCTGTGTGTGTGTGTGTGTGTGTCTGCCTCTGTGTGTGTGTGTGCCTCTGTGTGTGTGTGTGTGTTGGCCTCTGTGTGTGTGTGTGTGTGTGTCTGCCTCTGTGTGTGTGTGTGCCTCTGTGTGTGTGTGTTGGCTTCTGTGTGTGTGTGTGTGTGTGTCTGCCTCTGTGTGTGTGTGCTCACATGTTTGTATTTGTGTCTGTATTTGTTTGTGTCTGTGCATGTGCCCGTGTGTGCATAATTCAAAGGACAAAGCTGGGGTGGAGACTTCCTTGTTTGGATTTCTGATGGCTCACTAGGTCAGAATCCCAGAAGGAGATTCCTATTTGAATTTTTCTTTGGCAAAATTCCAATTTTAAGGTCTTGAAACAAAAAGATTTCTGTTAATAAGAAGAACTCTTCAAGGAATCCATTTCAAATGACACTAAAATTCCCAATTTAATACCCAGTGATATCTAGGAAGCTTGTCAGATTTTCTTGTAAACTCCTTTTTACAATCTACATTTTGTTTTCTTTCTGTATCAAATGGCCGCGCTCTGAATGCAGTGTGCTGGGGTTCTTCTCATAATGCCAGTGTTCTTCACAGGCCAGGGTGACACAGGGACACATTTGGTAATAGACTCATCAACCAGACCCTTCCCCGGAATGCCCCCTTCCCCACAAAAAAGACTAATTTGGGGTTTGCTCTCCTTTCTTCCCCTCTTTGTGGAAGGGAGGTATAAGAGATGAAAAGGCCCCAAGTTAAGATTGCTAGAGAAGCTCCAACCTCAAATATGCTGTTCCTGAAAACATCTTTGCCTTCAGAAAGACTGCTAGTAACACTACCTTGATTAAATTTTGGAGGTGGGGGTCAGGTGCCACACTTTGAATTCTCTGTTTGGACAGAGGCCTCCAACCTTTCATTATTGAAAGCTTACAACACTGAATCACACAAAAAGTTATATAAGGAAACGTTTACTGCAGTCTTCTTACAGAGAAAAAATTAAAACCAAGTAAAAATCCACTACTAGGAAAATGGTGCCGCAAGTTGAGATAGTTGAAGAAATGTTGTGTGTCCGTTAAACATGATTTTGAAGCAATGTGGGTGACTGTCTTTGGTATTATATTTAAGTATTTTTAAAACATAGGATATCATTTTATGTTAAAACTATGGGTTTTGATTTGTTTTTAAGAGTCATAGAAAAAAACTAAAAGTAGGCAAAAATACCATTTGTGGCTGAATTAAGGGGGTAGAGTTATGGGAAGTCTTTTTTTCTATTGGCATTTGTACGTTTATAGTAAAATAACTACTTTTTTTTTTTTTTTTTTTTTTTTTTTTTTTTTTTTTTTGAGATGAAGGCTCACTCTGTCGCCCAGGCTGGAGTACAGTGGTGGGATCTTGGCTCACTGCATCCTCCGCCTCCCAGGTTTATGCAATTCTCCTGCCTCAGCCTCCTGAGTAGCTGGGAATACAGGTGCCTGACACCACACCCAGCTAATTTTTGTGTATTTAGAAGACACAGGGTTTTACCATGTTGGACAGGCTGGTCTTGAACTCTTGACCTCAAGTGATCCACCTGCCTCAGCCTCTCAAAGTTCTGGTATTACAAGTGTGAGCCACTGCGTCTGGCCCAAAAATGAAATAACTTTTTAAAACAAAGAGACATATCATTGTTAAAGGAATGAGACACTGGCATCCCAGTAGTCACAGTGCATTCCTCCAGAGTCCACCTGTTTCAGCTAATTCTGACATGTTTTGGGCCACAGATTTTTTTTTTGACTTAGGAAGGGTTCTTTTAACCTGTGCAAATAAATAGCATAGAGAACTTGAAGGGATATCTTTGGCTATTTTTGATTTTTTAAAATTTCCATAGATTTGTGGGGAACAGGTGGTATTGGGTTACATGGATATGGTCTCTAGTGATTTCTGAGATTTTGGTGCACCCATTACCTGAGCAATGTACACTGTACCCATCGTGTAGTCTTTTATCCCTCACCCCCTCTTTCACCTTTTCCTCTTCCACCAAAGGGCGGAAAGTCTTGGCTGTGTCTTGACCTCTGAGAGCCTGTCCCAGCTGACTTGGGCAGATCATCTGCTGGACCAAGTTCTCACCCCAGTCACTCTCACTTTGCCTCAGGTGCTGTCTTAGTCTGTTTGCTGCTTTAACAGAATTCCTGAGACAGGAATTTATAAAGAACCGAGATTTGTTTCTTATGGTTCTAGAGGTTGGGAAGTCCAAGGCTACATCTGTTGAGGGCCTTCTTGCTGCGTCATCCCACAGTGGAAGGTGAAAGGGCGAGAGAACATGCAGGCAGGCTCACAGAAGTGAAAGACAGCAACAGTGTTATAATCCATGCTGGGCGTGGATTAATGAGGGCAGAGTCCGCTTGACCTGACTGTCTTCCATTAGGCCCCACCTCCCAGCATGGTTGCACTGGGGACTAAGTTTCCAAATACGCTTTTTGAAGAATACATACAAACCACAGCAGGCTCCAGGAAATCGTCCTCAATCCAGGCAAATATTTCAAAATGCAAGCGTTATGTGCTCTTCTGTGCTTGGCCTCATTCATTCATTTCTTAGCTATTTATTGAGCACTTACTATGTGCTAGACCCTGTTACCAGCTCTAAGGAAAACAGAATTCTGTCAGTGATTCCTAGTCTTGGCTGCATACTAAGATCACCTGGGGAGCTTTTCTTTTCTCTTTCTCTTTCTCTCTTTAAAGAAACACAAATGGAAAACTTAATTTTATATTTTTAATCCATCTCTTAGGCCAGCATCATACTTGATGGTGAAACTTGAGTATTTCCATCTAAGATGGGGTTCCAGGCATGTTTGGGATAACCACCCAAGTCTACTATGTGGAGCCCCTCTTCTGTGATGGGTAGAAAGCCCTAAACCCTCCTGTTCCAGACTCCATGACTCTCCAGTCACTTTCTGTCTAGAACAGTCTTCTTGGTGTCTAGGACTCAGTCCTATTTATTTCAAGACTGATTCCAAACTTGATTCTTTCCCTCTTATCCCTGCAGGGCAGACCAGACCAGTCTGTGGCCATGGCTGCTTACTGGGGACAATGAGGGCATGTGGACTGCTTCCAACCACTCCTGCTTTTCTTATTTCCTTTTCAAAATTCCTTCCTTCCCCCTTTTGAGAGCCTCCCTCCTCCCCACCATGGTGAGAGAGGGAGATGAGACCTGATCACAGGACCAGCTGCCCCCTGATAGGTTTCATATAGATTGTGGGGAGCTTCTCTTCCTAGATAATAAACAAACGTTATCTATTATTCGATCAGAATATTATTAGAATGTCACCATTTTGCAACACCCTAGTGAAATAGAGGGTCAAAGTAATGGTCTTCAATGACTGCCAACATTACAGAGAGACAACTGGACATTATTTGCCTTCTGAGGGAGGTGCACACACACTCTTGTGGCAATCTTGCCAAAAAATAGCTGGTGTCTAATCAGGTTTGTGTCCTGAACCACCATGGTATCAAAAATACAGAGTTCACGGGACTCTATTCAATAACACGGGGGTCTAATCAGCAACATCCGCACAGGAAATCTGTGAGACAACCTGATCTCTTCAACACACAAACTGCGAAGAAGAAAAAAATTCCTGTATGTGTCCTGAGGTTTGCAGATGATAGGATGCCTGGGATTTGCTTTACACTAACCTGTGGTGCGGAGGTTTGTGAGTGACGGAGCCGGCTAAGCTGATTACTGGGGAAGTGAGAGGTGGGTACACGGGCCCATCAGACCGTTCTCTCTATTGTGGTGTGTACAGCAAAGTTTCCATAATGAGAACATATGCAGGGGTTGCCCACATTTATTTTGATCACAAAGTTGGTTTTCTCTGAGGCATTCCACCATGGGTTCTGAGGCTTTAGACACAATAGGAATGTGTCTAAATGTGTCTTCGATGTTTTGAGATCACTGAGACACCAACTTTCTTTTAGGCAGAGTTTTTCTGAAACAGAGACTTTAATCAGTGAACAACCAACCAGGAAATTCTCAGATGCTTTTTACCTCTCTCTGCATTAGATACTTCGGGGATAAGTGACAGATTTGTAAGAATAGAAAGTAATGGAATGAGGACAGCCAGCCCTGAGACCACTGCACGCAATCGTTGCTTGTCAGGGTCTGCCATGACCCATGCCTGGCGCTTTCCAAGCAAAGCTCTGGTCCTCACCACAGACCTAAATGGGTCTCATGCTCCCCAATTAGCAGATGGGGAGATGGGGTGTGGGGTGCAGGAGTGTGGACCCAGGTGGCCTCTGAGTTGGGAGCTCTGTCTGGGGCCACCTGCTCCTGACCGGGAAGAAGCCCAGGGCTGAGCTCGCTGCAATAGTGTGGCTTGGATGTTCCACCTGCCTCAGATGATTGTGATTCTTTGCAGGGCATGGCACAGGCACACAGGAGCCCCCAGCCCAGCGCTGCCCCCAGCCAGCCCCGTGTGTTCAAGCTGGTTCTCCTGGGAAGTGGCTCCGTGGGCAAGTCCAGCTTGGCTCTCCGGTACGTGAAGAATGACTTCAAGAGTATCCTGCCTACGGTGGGCTGTAAGTGAGGGGCAGAGCGTGCTTGGTTGGTTTTCAGTGCAGAAGTCTGGGCCACTGACCCACACCTGGGGCAGATGGGGACGAGGCCCGCCTAGGAATCCCCATACTGTCCTGGCGTCTTGTACTGCTCGTATCCGGTGCATGAGGGTAGGAGGTGATGTCCATGAGGGCAGTCGCAGAATCTACAAAGGTAGGAAGTGCCCTTGGCTCCTGGGCTCTGACCACTCAGTGGCCCAAACCAGCTGTCCTCTCCCCGCGCCCAGGCCGCCCTCCTGCTAACACTGCTCCCTTGCTTTATTTACCCCAACACCGCCTTCCTTCCTGCCTGGACTTGTTTTAGCAGTCTGGCCTGGATCACTGTTGGGGGTAGGCAGGGAGGCAGGCCTTCTTGCTGTGTTTCTTGCAAAGGCTAACCCGTCATGATTCTCAGGAGTAACTGTAGGGGCATCTGCAGGCTGCTGGCCTCCTTCCCATCCTGCTGTGGGCACAGCCTGCCTAGGCAGTAAAGCGCAGTTTTCACCTGAAATAGGGAAAGCCAGGCGTTCTTTCTGCGGATCCCCTCTGGGGGACGTGTGCAGAATCAGAGACTCGGTTTCAGACTCTGACATGGATAAGCTGCCCTTTCTCCAAGTTCACTCACTCATTCGTTCACTCATCTAACAGGTGTCTGTTGAGCGTGGACTCTTTTGCAGGCCTGTGTTAGGTGCGGAAGATTCTATAACCAGCTAAACAGATGCACCAAACACAGAAACACAATTGTAAAATGTGGCACATGGCATTCGCTATTAGGGAGCCCTTCCATTTTCTCAGGGGGGTGGTTCCGGAAGGATCACCAGGGGATACAGGGGAATTGGCAGGAGTCTGTCTGGCCTGACTCCCGGAGCTAGTGGTGAGAAGGGCTAGAGTGATGGGGGGAGGCTGTCTGCAGAGGCTACCCTGGGGAGAGAGTCAGAACTAGCCTGGGGTGGGCTGTGCACTCCTCTTTTCCATTAGCAAGGAGATCTTCACCCCTCACCCGTGATATTGGACTTGGCTTCCTTTAAACATATATCAAAGGGCTGAGGTTGGCCTGATGGTGGCCTCAGCTGAGAACAGAGAACACAGATGGGGGCCTCACCAGGCCTGGATGTTGTGGGCTCTGTACCTGGGTGGCTGGTTTTCAAAATGCAGAGGCCTGTATGTCTCATTCTATTCCTGGTCCTCTGCCTGTCCCCTCAGGGGTCATCCCCCTGCCGGTGGCTTTCAGATGAAAGCCAGGGTCTCCCTTCCTCCAACACCCTCTCCCTGGGGTTATCTCCTCTCTCCAAGGGAAGAACTACCCTACAAGCTGGATCTGCCTTTCACCCAGGACTGGTGCCCACTCTGGGTCTCTGTGATGGGACAGGGGCATGGACTGTGGCCCATGGCACAAAGGAGAGAGGAGGACAGCCAGATGAGGTTAGCCTGTGGCTTACAAGCCGCCTTCTATCCATCAGCCTCCAAGCCTGGCATCCTCACTTTTGTATCGAGCACCTCTGTGTGTTGGCAGCTGTGCTGGGTTGGGGGCAGAAATATGGAAGCTCCTTCCTTCGCTGTTGGCTGAGTCCCCTGTGGGAGCAACGGTGTCCTCTGCTTACATCCGAGTGTCTGCATCATACCTGGGATAATATTACAGCCTTTGGAGGTAGATATTACTGTAACTATGAGTAGATGTTATACAATTATTATGATGTTAATTTTTTTCGAGACAGAGTCTTGCTGTGTCATCTGGCCTGCAGTACAGTGGTGTGTTCTTGGCTCACTGCAACCTCTGCCTCCCGGGCTCAAGCCGTCCTCCCACCGGGGCCTCCTGAGTTGCTGTGACCACAGGCACGTACCACCATAGCAAGCTAATTTTTGTATTTTTTGTAGAGATGGGGTTTTGCCATGGTGTGCACTGCTGTACCTGGCCTATGTTAATTATTTTATTATTATTGTGTTTTGAGATGGAGTCTTGCTCTGTTGCCCAGGCTAGAGTGCAGTGGCGAGACCTTGGCTCATTGCAGTCTCCACCTCCAAGTAGCTGGGATTGTGTGCACCACCACGCCCGGCTGATTTTTGTCTTTTTAGTAGAGACGGGGTTTCATCATTTTGGCCAGGCTGGTTTCGAACTCCTGACTTCAAGCAATCCACCGGCCTCGGCCTCCCAAAGTGTATACTAATTATTAATCATCACTATAATCATTACATGATCATATATTATTATACATGTGGATATTGCCAGTTTTAGGAAGAGGCGCTGGGATGTGCTCATTCCTTTAACCGATGCGCTTTGGGGAAGAGTGATCTGTGCTGTATAAAAACCCTTTGAGAACAGACACTCCTGCTGCTTTTGTCACATGTGGCTTCAGCTTTTATCAAGAATACTGGCTCCTGCCCAGGGGAGAGGGTGGGCCAGGAGCAGAGCTTCGGAGGGGAAGGGAGTGCTGTCCTCACAAGCAGCCTGGAAATGCAGGAGGCAGCAAGGAGGGAGAGGGTGTGATGGCCACGGTCACGCCGCTCCTTCCCTCTGCCTGGATGTTTCCCTGTGAAATGGGGCGTGAACACCTTCCTAGAGTGGGCTCTCCATGAAAGGTTGCTGTTACCTTGGGTGGCTTAAGATCATCACCAAGGCCGGCCTTGTCCGAGGGGTGTCACTTCAGGCCAGGGCCAGCCTACAGGAGGATGGACTTGGGTCCCTGGGGCCCTCCTGAGGGTCTGGTTCAGTCAAGGGGTGTGGGGGGTAGGTCCCACAGCAGGAACGTGACACAGGAGGTGGGCTTAGCTCCTGGCAAGACACAGTCCACCCAGAGGAAGCAGGAAGCAGAGCCAGAAAGTGACAGCGACTCGAGCCCTGAAGCTGGAAAGCCAACATGCTGGCCAATGCCGCAGGACCAGGCAGGCACAGAGGCAGCGCGGAGGGGAGTCCAAGCTAGCGAAGGCTTCTGCACACCCCCGCCAGGGCCTGTGGCAGAGTTGGCAGCTTCAGGAGCCACTGCTGTGTCAGGGTTGGGGGTTGGCACTCCCCATGAACGGCTACCACCATCCTAATGGCCACAGCAGGGGAGCTTCTATGTGCTGCCGGCTTGCTGTGTGTTGGCGATGTCTTTCAGAAGGATGGTGACATCTAGTGCTTGTGTGCATATTTGCCAGCTGAAGCCACGACGAACCCCAGATGTACTGGGCTTTTCTCAGGAAGAGGACTGTGACAAACAGGTGCTGAGCACATTCAACTTGGCACCAGCTCACTTCCCTCCTAAACTGAGAATGCGGCTGACATCCCAGAGCTCCCAGAAAATACGTTTCCATTTCATGTTCCTTTCAGTTTGTCATCAGCTCACTGTTTTTACAAAAAAAGCCAAGGGCTACAGTGAGGGCTTCAGTGAGCAGAATCAACTCTTTATTTAAATTAAAAGGTAAAAAAGCAAAATAATTTATATGATGTTAACATTTAGCAGAGACTCTGGGCGCAGTGGCTCACATCTGTAATCTCAGCACTTTGGGGGGCCAAGGCAGGCGGATTGCCCAAGCTCAGGAGTTCGAGACCAGCCTGGGCAACATGGTGAAACCCCATCTGTACTAAAAAAAAAAAAAGAAAGAAAAGAAATACAATTTAGTAGAGGAACTTTTCTTTTGCAGTAGTATGAGCACACCTCACTGTAGCCTCATCCTCCTGGGCTCAAGCAGTTCACCTCCACCTCTTCAGCAGCTGGGACCACAGGTGTGTGCCACTATACCCAGCTAAATTTTGTATTTTTGTAGAGACAAGATTTCACTATGTTGTCCAGACTGGTCTTGAACTCCTGGGCTAGAGTTATCCTCCCTTCTTGGCCTCCCCAAATGCTGGGATTACAGGCATGAGCCACTGCACCCAGCCAGAAATTTATTTTTTAATCACATTTTGGCGCTAGCTGTGGAGATAGAGAAAATGTAGTTAGTGGGTTTCTGAAAAAGGATATGATAATAAATACATGCTGTCTTCTCGAATACGTGTCCAGGGTCCCACCTGAGGGCCTTACAACTCTCTGCAGGGAAGAGAAGGTTCTGTGTTCTGTAGATAACCGAACGTTGACTATTATCATGCGTTATCATTGCTTGGACTAAAAACCATGCCCTCCTTAGAAATTTGCTGGGATTTTACATTAGTTTAAATTCAACTACAGCCATCATTTTCTTTTCTTTTTTATTTCTTGAGACAGAGTCTTGCTCTGTCTCTTGCCATCCGTGCTGGAGTACAGTGGTGCAATCTCAGCTCACTGCAACCTCCACCTCCTGGGTTCAAGCGATTCTCCTGCCTCGGCCTCCCGAGTAGCTAGGACTACAGGCTCATGCCAGCAAGCCTGGCTGATTTTTGTATTTTTAGTAGAGAAATGTTGACATCTTCGAGCGTCAACCCCAGGCAGGATGGCTGCTGGGCCCCCTGCCTCCATGGAAGCCTCGCAGCATCCCAAACACACCCAAAGGCGAGGCCTCGTGCGTTCTCTACCTGTCTCCCCCAGGAGGGCAGGAGCTTTATCTTACTCACTCATGTACCTGCTTCACACACACACAGACTGCCTCCAAGCACTTTAACATATGGGGCAATGCACTGTTCATGTAAAGATTTGATCACCATGTTGGTCAGTCTGGTCTTGAACTCCTGACCTCAAACAATCCACCCACCTCGGCCTCCCAAAGTGCTAGGATTACAGGTGTGAGCCACTGCGCCCGGCCTCCAGCCATCATTTTCAACATGGACAGGAAAATATGAGAGGCTAAGATTGGTAAATGGAGAAAGCAAACCTGAGTTTTATGCTCACATGTGCCCTGTCACAGCTTTTAAGGTATAATGAAATTCAAAGTGAGAAATCTGATTTCAAGTGATGGGAAACAGAAAGACGTGGATAAAAGGCCCACATTTTGAGACAAGTCCGCGAAGACCAAAGAGGACAGGAAGAAGCAGCAAAGTTTGCAGGCCCCGTCTCTCCTTGCTCGGGGGGGGTGGTCTGACGCTACCTGGGTGGAGGGCGCCGTTAGCTCCTGCTACGGAAGAGGAAGCTGGGGCTTGGAAAGCTGAAGCCAGCTGCCAGAGGTCACACAGCTGATGGGTCTACATTCATGGCCCGTGCATGGCCTTCATTCCGGCACCACTGTCAACCCGGCTGAGCACCTGCTGTGTTCAGAGGTTTATAGCCCACTCAGTCGCCCTGTGCAAGCTGGAAATCACTGGTCCTACTCTCTGGATGGAGACTGTGGCTTTGTGTGACCTGGAGAGTTTGTCTGACTTCAAGTTCCTGGACCTGCAGTAGACTGCAGGACTCAGGCAGAAGAGCCCAGACAGTGGCTTCCATTTCGGAAGAGGTTACCTCATGAGAGAGAAGCATGGTTTGCTGCGCCGTGCTGGAAATCTCTGTCCAGCCTCCTGATCTCTGTGTAGTGGGTGCAATTGTGTTTTTCCCTCCCGCAAAGATGTGATTAAGTCCTAACCCTCAGAACCTATGAGTATAACCTCATTTGAAGAGAGGTAATTTTGCAGATGTAACTACTTAAGGCCAACAAGCTGAGACTTCTTGGCCCCTAAATGGGGCAGGATGGCCCCTAAATCCAGTGACATCTGTATGAGAAGAGGAGGGGACACAGCTACAGAGGGGCAACTGTGAAGATGGAGGCGGAGATGGCGGTGATGTGGCTACCAGGAATGCCAGGCTTGCCCCCAGCCCCTGGAGCCGAAGGGAGGCTCGTGGTACTTAATTATGTCACCGTAGGACACTCACACACTGTCCTTGGAGTGAAAGTTTTCATTTTAAACATGTGGATCTGTTTGCCAGAATCTCCCCAACAGACTCCAAACCCCAGCCAGGGTCTAGGCAGGGTAGTGGCTTTCACAGGAGGCTGTCCGTGCTAGTGGCTTCTCCATGTCCCGGACACCTTTCCCTCTCTCCAATTCTGTGTATAACACATCCCTGACAGGCCACACACGATGAGGAAAACATTTTGGAGATCTAGAAAACAATCATTTAAAAATCACATCGCTTTGGAAAGCAAAGGGTAAAAAATCTTTACATGAACAGTGCATTGCCCAGTATGTTAAAGTGCTTGGAGGCAGTCTGTGTGTGTGTGAAGCAGGTACACGAATGAGTAAGATAAAGCTCCTGCCCTCCTCGGGGAGACAGGTAGAGAACGCACGAGGCCTCGCCTTTGGGTGTGTTTGGGATGCTGCGAGGCTTCCACGGAGGCAGGGGGCCCAGCAGCCATCCTGGGGTTGATGCTCAAAGATCTCAGAGGACACCTAAGAGTTTTCTAGGGGAAGAAGAGGAAGGACGCCATGCAGAGGGGACAGTAGAGAAGGGGGTTGAGGGGGAGCAGCATGGGGAAAGTGGGGAGGGTAGCAGGAGGTGAGGAAGGACTTGGAGGAGGCTGTGCAATCGTGGCTGGCCCTGCGCAAGATGGGCCTGGCAGACAAGAGGCCAATGGGCCGGGGGTGCTCAGGGCTCTAGGGGCCCCAGAGCCCAGCTGCATCGCTGGAAGCTGGCAGGGCTGCGTCGGATGCCGGGTTAGTGGAGACCCTTCCCTGGCACACGTAGCCCAGAGCTTTTGTGTTATGTCCTGGAGATATTGATCTTCCCAGCCAAAGCCTCTCTGAAGGGCTCATAGGAATCACTCCTGATGCTTTGCTCAATGCAGAAGCCTCCATGTCCTGCAAGAGCTGTTTGCTCGACCTCCCGGCCATGTGGGCATAGGAGGTGCGTGGCCAGCTGCCCCTCTGAGCCCATCGCTGTGCCTGTGGCTTGCTATGGTCCCACCTGAGCTGCACGTGGGCACCTCATCCTCTGAGTAAGCTCTCTCGGCCTCCCTATTTCAGGTGCATTCTTCACAAAGGTGGTGGATTTGGGCGACTCCTCTCTGAAGCTTGAGATCTGGGACACAGCTGGCCAGGAGAAGTACCACAGTGTGTGCCACCTCTACTTCAGGGGCGCCAACGCGGCGCTGCTGGTGTATGACATCACCAGGAAGGTAGGGCCCACCTCCAGGCGCGTCCCACTCTCCTTCCCACGCACCTGCCTTCTGCTTTCTCTGATGCAATGATGCCATGTGTACTCACAAAACAGAGGCCCCATTTATGAGCACTAGTCTCCTCATCCGGGAGGGCCTCCTGACAACCCCCATCCTCCTCCACAGCCAGGGCTCTCCTCCTCCGTGGTCTGAGAGCACATGCCACAGCCATCTGCCACTCAGTAGTTCCTGGTGCTGTGTTGGGGTCAGGGTTTGGGGTGATGGCCAGTCCCCAGATTCTCTTGTACAAAATGGTCCTTTGAGGACATCTAGGAGCTCAGGGTCTGACCTGAAATACCCCAGGGCCGGCAGTTTCCTGGGCCTGGTCAGGGCCAAAGAGCTGACGTGTGTCCCAGCAGTTTGCAAAGGTCACTCAGGGCAGGAGCAACCCCTCCTCAGAGGAACAGAGCAGCGCTGCAGGCCCGTCCATGGCCAGCTGGATTCTGTGACATGACGTGACCAGCACCAGTCTTTCCCCCCGGAATAGCTCACGGAGACCGCCTGTGGGTTGTGTTTGACGTTGGTTTTTCTTCTTTCCTAGGATTCCTTCCACAAGGCTCAGCAGTGGCTGAAGGACCTGGAGAGGGAGCTGCAGCCGGGAGAAGTCCTGGTGATGCTGGTTGGCAACAAGACGGACCTCAGTGAGGAGCGGGAGGTGGCCTTCGAGGTACCGCCCAGGAGCCCCTGCTGTTCTCCTCCACAGGCACACCCGCGCCTGTGTGTCCTTACACATGTGCACGCGCACCTCCACACCTCCCCATGCCCACACGCACTAGTACACACACGCACGCCCCCACATTCACTCACGCTTGTACCCACACACGTTTATAAGCACACACACAGATACAAACACACAAACACACAACTTTGTTTTTATTTTTATTTTTGAGATGGAGTCTGGCTGTGTCGCCCAGGCTGGAGTGCAGTGGCGTGATCTCGGCTCACTGCAACCTCTGCCTCCCGGGTCCAGGTTCAAGCAATTCTCATGCCTCAGCCTCCCAAGTAGCTGGGATTACAGGCATGAGCCACCATGCCCAGCTAATTTTTGTATTTTTTTTAGTAGAGATGGGGTTTCCCCATGTTGGCCAGTCTGGTCTTGAACTCCTGACCTCATGATCCGCCTGCCACGGCCTTCCAAATTGCTGGGATTACAGGCGTGAGCCACCACACCCAGCCCAAACACACAACTTTCTATCTGAATTTCTCTTTTGGTCAAAAGATTTCTTTCTGGTCTTTCCTGGAAAACTCAGGCCCAGGGACATTGAGAGTTCAAGGCCAGCAGTGGAGGGGCAGGCGCAGGGTGGCCGGCGGAGGGAGGGGCAGGGTGGCGGCTGCAGGGTGGGCTCGGCCTGAATGGGAAACGATCCAGTTCCTCAGCAGGGCCCCCTTCCCCGCTCGGCTCCCAGAAGGGGCTCTGTGCAGATGTAGCCCCACCCCCGCCCGAGCTCCGTCAGGTGGAGGCAGTGGTCACCCAGCTGCCGCTATCTCTCTTCCACGGCATCTTACCTCCCCACCATGTTTAGGACGAAGACTACGTAAGCAGCTGCAGACATGTGGCTGGTGGGGAGGCCCCACACACTAGAGGCTGGCGCAGGGGCACACCTGACTCAGGGCTTAGGCCAACTTCCACGCCTCCCGGAGAGAAAGGCCCCGGCTTCGATGGAGGCTGTAGAGAGATGGAGAAGTGGGGTGAAGATTTTGGAGAATCCGGGGGGGAACAAAGGGAGCAAAGGGAGGCAGCCTCAGTCTGAGCGCTTGTCGAAAGGCAGGATGGGGAGGAGAGGAGCTGGCAGCAGAGCTGTGTCCTCTGAGAGTGACTAGATGGGCTGTGCGCTCGGGCAGGCACAAAAACATGGGCGTGACGTGCTCAAGGTCTGGAGGGGCAGTGGGCAGCCAGGGTGGGTTTGGAGCGTCTGCCTGGGGAGCTGGCTGGGAAGCAGCTGGCCCAGACTCTCTGGGTCGGGATAGGAGGAGTGCATTCACAACTGTGGACGGTGCCAGGGCTGTGGGCATGGCTGGCCACGCCTGCTGCCAGCTCCATGTCTGGCAGGACAGTCAGGAGCCTGAGCTGTGCCCTCCAGGATCTGCCACAGGCTCTTCTTCCTGGGAGCGTCATGGAGGCTGGGGGAGGGGCCTGACACAGGGGGCCCCCATTCCTTGGCCACTCCTGACTCCTGGGCGAGGCGGTGGCCTTCCCATGAATGCTTCTCTCCTGGTCTCCCATTGCAAGCCTGCTGTCTTCCAGTTTGCCTTTGCTCTGGGACATCCTTTCCTCCCTGTAGGAGACCCGTGTTGGAAAATGAGGGCTCCCCAGAGGAAGGGCCCAGGTGGGCGCCGTCCAGGGGCCTCCCTCTGCCTCTCATGTTTCCTGGGTTCTCAGTTGGTTCTGTCCAGCATTGGAGCCCACAGGTGCTCACAGCCATGGTGGGCGGGGAGCCTCGCGGTGGGAGCGTGGCTTCCGGGCCCTGCGGCAGGAGGAAGGCTGCTGCCAGCCAGCTAGAGAAGAGCCTCTTCCAGGGCTCACACCCCACCCCACCTGGTCCTGGCTGCTCAGGAGTGCCAAGAATACGACCTGGACGCGAGGCGTGGAGGAGTGCGGTCTGCGCGGCCGTGGCTTTCTTGGGTCTCACTGTTGGGAGTGAACCAGGTGTTCTCAGGAAACTCTTATAAACAACGCTGGATTTTGTGGCTGTTTCCTTCAGGAAGGGAAGGAGTTTGCCGACAGCCAGAAGTTGCTGTTCATGGAAACTTCGGCCAAACTGAACCATCAGGTGTTGGAGGTGTTCAGTGCTGTGGGTGAGTGATGTCCCCAGGGGCTAGACAAGGTGGGGGGTGCTCGTCCCTGACCCACTTCCCTGGGTCCCCTTTGCTGGTGATGCAGGATCCCACAGAATGTCTCTAGGGACTGGAAGGTGACCAGGAGGGGCAGGAAACCCTCGTTCTATGGTTCTTTGGTTCTATGGGTCCCTGGCTGCTGGGCTGCAGGGCTGTGCTGGGCGGGGGTGGGGACTTCCCTCCCTAATTGGCCCCTGCCTCTTGCCATTCACAGCCCGAGAGCTACTGCAGAAAGACAACGGGGTGGGCCAGGCTCCACGGGGGGACGCAGGCGTGGCTCTGAATGAGAGGCCAGTGCGGCAGGCCAAATGCTGTGCACAGTAGGTGCAGCCACCCCTGGGGGCTGTGAGAAGACGCCCCCAACCCGGGCCATGGCCACCTGCGTAGTTCTGATTCACTGTCTATGCTGGGTTGCTCCTGAGCCCTAGAGGTTCCTGGAAGTTGGCCCCCTTTTTAAAAACCACTTCCCACAGCCAGTGGGAACCGCCAGGGGAGGAGCTGGCGTCGCATGACTCCCAGAGGGTGCTGTGTCCCATCCCCCCCGCCCGCACCATCTGATTCCCCGATGCCTGTGCCGGCCCTGCCTAGACGGTGGCCCCTCAGCCAGGCAGCCTTGGACACAGAGGAAGCAAGGATTGGAAAAGTCCCCAGGGCACAGCGATGGTGGAAAGATGCCTCTCGCCTGGTCTGGGTGGGGGCGCTGGCCCGGAGCCCGGGCTCACCTGCTACTGGGGGTTTGGGGAGCCGGCCCAGATGGAGGTGGCAGTGCCGGGAAGAAGCGGAGTGGTAACTGAGCATGAGGAGGGCCCAGGACTGACGCCTCTGGGAAGGGCAGCTGGGGGCACCAGCTCTGGTTCCCTCTCATGCTCTCCTGGCTGGAAATGCGGCGAAGCTGTTTCTGTCCGATGAGTCGGAAGATTCATTTAACCTGAGGTGTAAGTTGTACTGCACATGCATTTTTTTTTTCTCCAAAAATTAAATTGCTTTTGAAAGTCTGGCTTTTGAAAGTTTTCTGGTATAAGACAGGGCCCCGAGCCTGATGGACTGCTGTAGATTTTTCTGTCTGTATTCTGGGAGGGCTCCTGTGAGGTAAATGAGGAAGCAGACCCATGTGCAGGCTGTGACTAACGTGGTCCTGGCCCCGCTTTCTGGATGGGATGCATTCCCAGATGGCGACACTCCATCCTGACCGCCCGCCTTTGCAGAGAAACCTATGTCTTAGTCTGTTTTTGTGTTGCTACAAAGGGATGCTTGAGGCTGAGTGATTTCTAAGGAAAGAGGTTTACTGGGCTCATGGTTCTGCAGGCTGCAAAGGCTGCATGGGGCCAGTCTGCTTCCTGGTGCGGCCCCGGGCTGCTTCCACTCCTGGCGGAAGGCAATGAAAGCTGGCTTGCAGAGGTCACACGGGGAGAGGAAGTTAGAGAATGTAGGGGAGTTCCCACTCTTTTCAACAACCAGCTCTGGGGAAACTCTTACAGGCGCTGTTGGAGTAAGCTCACTCGTTACAGCTAGGAGGGCACCAGGTCATTTACAAGGGACCCATCCCCATGAGGCCACACCTCCCATCAGGCCCTGCCTCTCACACTGGGGGTCAGATTTCTTCCTTCCTCCTTTTTCTTCTTCCTCTTCCTTGTCCTCCTCTTCCCCTTCTTTCTTCTTTCTTCATTCCTCCTCTTCCTCCTCTTTCTTCACCTTTCTTCTTCTTTTTGGAGATGGAGTCTCATTCTGTCACCCAGGCTGGAGTGCAGTGGCACGATCTCAGCTCACTGCAATCTCTGCCTCCCAGGTTTGAGCAATTCTCCTGCCTCAGCCTCCCGAGTAGCTGGGACTACAGGCATGCACCACCATACCCACCTCATTTTTGTATTTTTTAGTAACGATCGGGTTTCACCATGTTGGTCCAGCTGGTCTCTAACTCCTGGCCTCAGGTGATTCGCCTGCCTCCACCTCCCAAAGTGCTGGGGTTACAGGTGTGAGCCACCACGTCTGGTCCTGGGGGTCAGATTTCAACATGAGGTTTGGGAGGGACAAATATCCAAACTGCAGCAACCCAGCCCCTGTTTGGGGAGGAAAACCCCACAAAATGTTTTCCTGTTGCGTCTCTTTCTGGACACTGCGGGGGCGAGGTTATTTCAAGATTTTTGGAAGATGATGTTGGTTTTCATCCTTGCCCCTGGGACTCTGATAAGCAGGTGTGAGTTTTAAACAATAAGACATTGTTATCCACCTGGAAACCGTGGCATCACTGTACCGGCTGCTGTAAGGATCAAAGCAGGAGGAAGCGAAGTGCCTTCCATTTGATGCTGAGCTTCCCATCATGTAGAAGGGGAAAAGGCTCTGTGCCTGGAGCTTCCCTGGCTCCACCAGGATTCCCTCTGCTCTTGTTCACTTGGCATAGAGATGCCAGGCTGTGACCTTCAGTGGGGTCCAGACCAGGGGGAGCCCTGCCAGGGGTCCAGGGAGAGGACGCAGAGGCCAATCATTGCCTATGGCCTGCCTGCCAGAAGCCACTGCCCCCGTCCAAGAGGCCTCTTCCTCCTCCAGGTTCTGGCAGCTGCTCCCTGCCCTCATCCATCGGGCCTCGGAGCGGGGCGGGGCAGAGCCCCTCCTGGCCAGCCTGGGTTTCTCAGCGTTCAAACCACAGCTTCATAACTGTGATCCCTGGCCTTGTTATCCTAACTGGAGGAGCCACCTGGATCCACTGGGTCCCTGGAAGATCCAGCTTTCAATCTTGGGGACAAGGAACATCTTGGGTCTCCCTTGGAGTGTGGCTTCCTGGTGCTAGTGTGACTGAAATGACCTTCTCACGTGACCTTTACTAGACAAATGCAGACCAGATTTCACATACCTCTCTCATGAGCTCCAGGAAAAGCTAAAGGATAAAGAAAACAGTAGCTTCTGAGAGGGTCTGTTCCCCTGGTTTTCACGAGCACTGTCCTCGTTTCTTAGACAATTTCACAGGTGAAATCTGACTCTGTGTTATTGCTATGTGCATTGCAGTTTACAGCGGCTAATAAAGCTGGACTATTTTTCATGCAATGATTCCCTCGCAGATGAAGAACATGAAGTGTGAGTCCCCAGTGTGCTAGGCCGTGTCCTCGTGCCCCGTTCCCCTGCAGCGGGCCCTGAGCTGGGGTGGGGACCCACCCTGGGGGCGGCAGGAGGCTGGGGTGGACCCATGGCCACCAGACGGCGCTCCAGCCTTGCGTAAGGCCGGCCCCACGGTCCTGGGGTCCTGAGTGCTGGCTCTGCTGAAGACAAAACAGGAGGCTCTCAGAGGGACTGCGGAAGAGTGGCCGGATGACGCAGAAGGGAGAAATTCGAGGGAGGTTTGTAGGGTGCCTGGATGCCTGACTGCCTGTTTCCCCCTCTGTCTTGGCGGCCTACTGTGGCTATGCCAGAATTTATTATTAAAATATATCCTGGGGCCGGGCGCGGTGGCTCACGCCTGTAATCCCAGCACTTTGGGAGGCCGAGGCGGGTGGATCACGTGTTCACGTGTTCTCATTGTTCAACACCCACCTATGAGTGAGAACATGCGGTGTTTTTCTGCTCTTGTGTCAGTTTGCTGAGAATGATGGTTTCCAGGTTCATCTATGTCCCTACAAAGGACACGAACTCATCGTTTTTCATGGCTGCATAATATAGTGCCACATATAGTGCCACATTTTCCCTGAAATAGAAATTCCGTTTGACCCAGCAATCCCATTACTGGGTACATATCCAAAGGATTATAAGGTCAAGAGATCGAGACCATCCTGGTCAACATGGTGGAACCCCATCTCTACTAAAAATACAAAAAATTAGCTGGGCATGGTGGCGCGTGCCTGTAATCTCAGCTACTCAGGAGGCTGAGGCAGGAGAATTGCCTGAACCCAGGAGGCGGAGGTTGCGGTGAGCCGAGATCATGCCATTGCACTCCAGCCTGGGACAAAATAAAACTCTGTCTTGAAATAAAATAAAATAAAATAAAAAAATAAAATAAAATAAAATGTATCCTTTGACTCCTTCAGGAATCATTTCATGGCCTCCCCAAGAGTAGACAGATCTGTCATGGTCCTGGACCCCTGGGTCCCTGCTCACCCGGGACTATGACTGCCCCTTTCCCTTCCTCGTCACCACTAGGCAGGAAGGCTCAACCCTGCACCGGAGTCACCTGCGGAGCTGCGGAAAGCCCCCCCCACTTAGGCAGGGCAGGTTGGCTCACGCCTGTAATCCTGGCACTTTGGGAGACTGAAGCAGGAGGACCACTTGAGCCCAGGAGTTTGGGACCAGCCTGGACAACAAAGAGAGACCCTGTTTCTACAAGAACAACAGAAACAAAAAGTTAGCTGGGCGTGGTGGCGCACCTTAGTCCTGGCTACCCCGGAGGCTGAGGTGGGAGGATTGCTTAAACCTTGCGGGTTGAGGCTACAGTGAGTGGTGATCAAGCCACTCACTCCAGCCTGGGCCCCATCTCAAAAAAGAAGAAAAGGAGCCCCACAGCTGCGTCTCACCGGAGGTTCTGATCCCATCAGCCTGCACGGGGATTTCTAAATCCTTCCAGGTGAGCGTTGGCGAGGCCTGAAAACCCCAGTGAGAGCAGGGCCTCTGCCCTGACTTCTGTGGGATTCCCAGGATCCCCTACACTGTCTGGCACACACCAGGCACTCAACACATATGTATCCAACAAAGGGAGGAAGGTGTGCTTTTTCCCCGACCGAAAGAACAGGCCGGGTTTCCTAAAACTAGCCCCTGCCGCCCTGACACCTGCGTGTGACAGGCTCACCTGTGTCACTGCTCCACTACTTTATCTTCCGGTCCCGAGACGGTGCTGGGGCGGGGCAGCAGGCAGGAAGGCCCCTTTCTGTGAACACACAGGGAGAGGACCCGGCAGAGCTGCAAACATTTGTATCACAGATGATTCACGATAAATGGCTCCAGGATCCCACTGGCTCCAGATACTGGAGGAGGCTCGTCCGTGCGCCCCCCGTCCAGGCTGCTGCTGGGGAAGCCGATCCAGCCCAGCTTAGCTTGAGTTCGGACCTACCTGTGTCTTCTGGTGAGCTGCTGTTTTCCTGTGGGGGGTGGTGGTGGTGGTAGAACCTGAGACTTGGTGATGTTGATGAGTGATCCTGGGAGCCCCTGCTGTCCCAGCCTGTGACTCTCAACTTCTCCCTTCTCCTCCCCTCCCTTCTTTCCTCTTTTCTTTTTGAGACAGAGTTTTGCTCTTGTCACCCAGGCTGGAGTGCAGCGGTGTGATCTCACCTCATTGCAGCCTCTGCCTCCTGGGTTCAAGTGATTCTCCTGCCTCAGCCTCCAGAGTAGCTAGAACTATAGGCACCTGCCACCACACCCGGCTAATTTTTGTGTTTTTAGTAGAGATGGGGTTTCACCATGTTGGCCAGGCTTGAACTCTTGACCTCAGGTGATCTGCCAGCCTTGGCCTCCCAAAGTGCTGGGATTACAGGCGTGAGCACCGCGCGTCTTGTTGCCCCGTGAGCATGTTCCCATCCCACCCTTCTGGATGGATCTGTGTCCAGGCTGAGCTTCGGGTTGGAGGGAGCTGGTTAAGCCTGTTACATGGCTGGGTTGGGGGTGGGCCTTGGGGAAGGGGTTTGCACTCACAGAGCACCCACCTGTGCCAGCTGGTATGCAGGTACCATTCCCACCGAGCTCAGGAATGAGGTAAGCACTGCTGTCTGGTGGTGTGCAGATGTAGAAACTGAGGCTCAGTGACGCCAGGGGATAAACTCAGTCTCCCAGGTGGTGCAGTTGTGCCCCCAATGCCAACATAAGTGACACCTGAGGCAGGACGTGGCGACATCCCTGTGTGATTTGAGAGCCAGTGTGGCGTGGGAGCACTCGAGGTGCAAGTCTCCCCGCCATGGGCCAGAAACAACCCATGATGCATCTTCCCTGAGCAAGAGGCAGGCAAGGCAGACTGCGATCAAAGGACCAGCAGTTGCCGGGGTTGAGGGGAGGGGCGAATAGGTGGAGCCCAGAGGACTTCTAGGACAGTTAAACGGCTCCGTGTGACGCTAGAGCATGTCGTCTTACATTTGTGCAAACCTGCAGGATGTACAGTGTGAAGAGTGGGCTCTGACACACACTGGGTGGGGATGGCGATGTGTCAGGGCTCAGGCGGGGAGCTGTGCCACCTTCCTGTGGGGACAGTGTCCTGCAGAGTGTGGCGCATGGCACCTCCTGGCTTCGTGCCGTGCACAGCCTGGGCAGCCACTCAGGGCAGCTTGGGTGTGGGGGTGGCTGTGGGCTGCGGTGTTGAAGGGTGGTTCTGTTTCCCAGCTCAGTGCCAGGGGCCCTCTGGCAAGTCACAGAGCCTTTCTTCAAAAGAAGCTGCTGGGCTCTGAGGTTCTTTTTAGTCTCACATCCCAGGAGGGAACAACTTCAGAGTCACCACCACACAGTCATGGACGCGAAACTAAACGAGGCCAGAGCTTTTATTAGGATTGAAGGGAAAGCAGCCCATGAGGGTGAAGAAGGGGCAGGGTGAGGGAGGCTCCAGGGTGACTTTCTTGACAAGCTGGCTGTCATCCATCCTGTGAGGACTTAGCGCTGCCTTCCAGGGGGAAGCAGGTCAGCCGGGGTCGCAGGCCAGGCTTCAAGATGTCCCCCGGAGCTGCCGTCCTCCGACCGAAGCGGCCCACAGGCCTGATCCTGCGACTGGTGTACCAGGCAGGGTTGACATCCCGGTCTGGAAAGGAAAGAGCGGGAGCAGACCATGGGCACTGGAGGCAGCAGGGCAGAGGGCACAGGCAGGGCCTCTCAGCCCAGTCACCAGGCCATGCTGAGACCCACTCGAGGAAGAGGCCCCCAGAGCTTCTGGCAAGGCCATTTCTGGGCGTGGGCTGGCTTTGGGAAGCAGGAGTTCAAAAAAGCACCACGACTGATTTCCCTTTCCTCTCCCGCACACCCTTCCCTGCCAGGTTCTCGAGTGACCAGGCCGCACCAGGCCCTGGGGTGAGGCGGGGTGGGGTGCGGGAGGCTGACAGGCACTCACTGCGTGTCTCCATGGAGTGCCGATGGGTCCGATCTGCAGCCCCGCGCAGGGCCAGGCCCAGCATCAGCAGGCACAGGAGCCAGGCCCTCAGCACCTTCATCCCTTGGCTCCTTCCAGGAGGTCCTGCTGGAGGGGGGATCCAAACGGGGAGGACACGGCCCGGGGGAGAAGAGGCAGGAGCAGGGTTACACAGGCATCAGGGTGCATGTGCACAGAGCCCGGACCTGGGGTAGAGTGAGCACTGTGTGTGTGAAAGGGAAGCACGTGCATGAATGTGTGTGCATGTCAGCGCACAGTGTATGTGTGTGTATATGTGTACAATAGGGTGCGACTTGTGTGCACATGGGTGCATGCATGTATGAGAGTGTGTGTGTGTGTGTGCATGTGCACCTAGCCACATACATCTCCATGTGTTACTCTGGTCTGTGCTGGGTTGAGAATGAGCGCAGAAGTAGCAGTTAAACCTGGCCCTCTGCATGGTCCCCTACCCACCTGTGACCCCATTCTCTCCTCTGTGCAATGAGGGTTAAGTGAGATACTCATGTGTGCGTCCGCCTCTGACCGGCTGGTCATATATGCACTGATGCCCCTCATCAGAAAGCCCCCAGGAGGTGTGTGAGCTAGGCGTGTAAAGTTGAGCTGTCGTGGGACAGCCTTGGGTCTGTCTGCCTGCGTTAGGAAACTGAAGGTGTAGCCAGTCTCTGAGCAGGCTCAGGCTTGTTGCACACCCAGGACAGTGGGTTTGCAGGGAGGAGCCTGGGGAGCTGCACAGGTGGAGGCAGCCACTTGCCCAACCTCAGACATGGTTGGGGAGCTGGGGGGGTGCCAAGCCTGGACCGGGCTCAGGGGCTAGAATCCGGTGCGTGGTCCTTTCCCACATGCATCTCATGTTGGGATGTCAGCCGACAGCTGCGTGCTGTAGAACGAATCTGCGCCCTCTGTCCTGACTAAGGCCATTCACCCTGCCATGATCCCAGATCCAGTCTTCTAGGTGCCAAGGTAAACCTGCAGCATCTGGGATCTCTTCTCACAGGGAAGGGCCACTCTCTATGGGTGATGGGAGGAGGGGGCTGCCATGGATGGGACTGGGTGCATAGAAAGCCCCTGCCACCCCACTGGAGTGGAGGTGCTGAAATGCCTAAACAGTATCCAATCTGGCAGACCAGGAAACACCTGCTGCAGGTGCCCCTCCTCCTTGCTCCACCTGTGGCATTTGGGTGCCATGAGAAGATGCCCAAGAGCTCCATCTTGCTCAGGGGAGGGCCCCTCTGCTGACCTTGACTTCCAGCCCCTCCCTGAGCCCCACAGAAAGTGCTCTCCCTCTCCTTTTTAGAGGCCTGGTGGGGCGTCCCATGCTAGGTGGGGTGAGGGTTCCCCAGCCTAGAGGAAATGGAGGTGCCACCTTGAAGAGTGATGAAGAGATGCTTCCCAGCAGGCTGGCTGTTTGCTTTTCCTCTGGCACAGGACCCACACCAGGTGAGGGGTGTCCCAGAATGCTAGCGATGCTCACTTTGCACCTGATCCCCAGTGACCTGCCTCCCTGAAAGGTGGAGACTGGCTGTCTGCCTGGTGGGATTTCCTGGTCAGCAGAGCTGAATTGGACATCATTGCCTGGTGTCTCTACCATGGACAGCACTGGAGCCTCAGGGCCCTGGGAGGGCAGGGTGACTTTGGATGCAAGAACCCAGGGGCAGCTGCCTCTGCCTGTCCTGCTCAGGGCTAGTAGCCTCAGATGCCAGGAGAGCAGGCAGAGTCTCAACCTGACCCACACTCAGACAGAAAGGAAAGATTTTACAAAGGACCCGAGTTCCAGCGCCTGGATGTGCTACTCACCGCTCTCGAGTGTGGTAGAGGCGCTAGCAGAGTGTGGCTGCCGGTGCAGTGGGGCTGAGGAGGCAGGAACCTCTGTCCCCCTTTTATAGCTCCTGAAGAGGACGAAGCCGGTACCCCCAGGTGCCCTCCCCCAAGCCAGCCTGTCTCCCTCAAAGGGTGGCATCAGGAGTGACCCTGTGTCTTTCCTCGTTCCTTTCTTTTATTTATTTATTTTTTAAAAACACTCATCAGTGACGTGATTTGTTCCTTCCTGGGTTATGTAATTTCATTTGGACCAAGTGGTTTTAAAACACATTAGCTTCCCTTCTTCACACTCGCCTTCGGGCAGACTGCAGAGTCAAATGTCTGCTCAGCCTTACACATGGGGCTCCTGGGCTCCTTCCAGTCCTCTCTCCCTGCCTTTAAATCACCGCGTTCAAGGGCAAGGTGAGAAGGGACAGTCGCCAAAACCCAACACTGAGGCTTTTTGTCTTCTTGATCTGCTCGGTCCTCGTTCATTCACCTGCCTGACGGTCCTATGTGCATTTGTTGTATACACACCACATCTTCCTCATTCTGCAACTTACGCACAGGGGCCATGCTATTCTTCTCTGTATCGCTCCAATTTTAGTACATGTACTGTCGAAGCAAGCACTCTCTAACTACAATAGGTGGTTTCTAGGCTTTTACCGTCTTCATAATTAGTGTTTAACATAAACAAGTTTATTATTCTCATAAGATGTTTATTTTTATTATAAAAGAAACAAATGCATTTTTGTTATTAAAGCAGTTCATATACATTTGGAAAAAAAATAGTGCATAGAACAAAATAGAAAAAATTGCACTGATCATGTTAAAGAAGCTTCTCGCTTCTACATTTGATGCATTTTCATCTAGTGAGCTTCCCACATATTTTCTGGGTAGATTCATCACATTCATACATGTTGAAGTTCATTCTTTTCACCTAACACTCTAACAATCATGCCCTCAAGTTGCTAAAGAATCTGTAAGTTTGTGCCATTTTAAGTAGCTGTGCAATGTTCTACCATTTAACATGGACCTAAATCATTCATGTTCTGGATAATTATAAGTTATACTAATGGTCTCTTATATGCAGTTGAGTACAATCTTTCTTTTTCTTTTTTAAATATTTTTGACATGGTGTCTCACTCTTGTTGCCCAGACTGCAGTGCAATGGACGATCTCAGATCCCCGCAACCTACCCCTCCCGGGTTTAAGTGATTCTCCTGCCTCAGCCTCCAGAGTAGCTGGGATTACAGGTATGTGCCACCACGCCTGGCTAAGTTGTGTATTTTTTAGTAGAGACAGAGTTTCTCCATGTTGATCAGGCTGGTCTTGAGCTCCTGACCTCAGGTGATCTGCCCGCCTTGGCCTCCCAATGTGCTGGGGTTATAGGCGTGAGCCACTGTGCCCGACCGAGTACAAGCTTTTTAAGGAAAATATCTGGAAAGGAAACTTAGCACATGCTTCCTGTGGATTGGTGCAGATGGTCAATGTGCCACTTTCATCTTTTTGGAAAAGCTTCTGAGCAATACTTTGCCTTTCAGGGAACAGGGCACACTCGACTTCTCTCTTGTTGCATCGCTGCTTTTTCCCAGTGAGCCAGGTTTGTGGCTAGTGGGCTCCCTGTGAGCCCTGGAGTCCAGGGGTGGCTAGTGGCGGGAAGTAGGGTAGGGAGCACTGGAAGGGTGACAGGGTGGGGTACACAGCTCCCAGCTTGGGCTGCAGATTAGAGTCATATGGGAGCCTTAAAAACTTCCCAGTGGCTGCGCTCTACCTGGAATGAATTCCATCAGAATTCCTGGGGGTAGCTCAGGCATCAGTGATGGTGAAAAGATCCACCCCAACAAAGTTTTTATAAATGTAGGTTGAGTATCCCAAATCCCAAAACCCCAAATCTGAAACATTCTGAGTGCTGACCGGATGCTCAAAGGAAATGATCATTGGAACACGTTGTTCAACTGGTGAATATTGTGCAAATATTTCAAAATTCCCCTGCAAAAAATCAATCCAAAACAGTTCTGGTCCCAAGTATTTTGGATAAGGGAACCCAACCTGTACTGGTGACGGTGATGGTTAAGAATCACTGTCTTGGAGGTAGGTTTTTTACCCAGTGCTAAGCCTGCCTGGAGCAACAGAAACTGTGAGACACCAGGATTTGGGGGCAGCTTCCTGGGCATCCACCACTGGAGAGAGAGAGGGAGAGAGAGAGTGAGTCTGTGTGTGTGTGTGTGTGTGTGTGTGTGCGCGCGCGCGTGCATGCAAAGCAGCTCTGTCATAGTGTGGCTTTGGCATCTTGCCACCTTGAGAGTCTACCAGTGGAAGCAGCAGGTGGACTGAGGGATCAGTCCTGCTTAGCCCACCCCCACGTGGAAACCGATGGCATCCATCAGAGGCCTTGGAACTGCTGAGAGGCACTGTGGCTGGCTGGAGATGCTGCGACAGCAAGTGAGGTGTGGGCTGCTCTTGCAATAATGCCGGCATCTCAGGCTGCACATGGCTTCAGTGTTCTTTGAGAAATGAATCCACAGATGGGGTTCGGCCATAGACAGGCAGTTGGGGAGCTTTTCCCCATCCCTGTTTAACTGGGTCATGGGACTCAGGACAGGCAGAGCCAAACACTCTTTGTCCAGCTTCAGTTGGTCAATATTTCTTCCAGGACGTGATGTGGCCACCTGAGTTGTGGCACATAGGAACTAGGACCTGTGCAGGAAAGTCCCCTCCCTGGGGAAAGTACAACCACCCGCCATGCTACCTTCCCAGAAGCCTTGGGGATAGTGGGAATGAAGATGCTGACTGCCACGCCTTCTAGTCCTAATTTAGTAAGCTACTTACATTTTATTTTATTTTTTGAGACAGAGCCTTGCTCTGTCGCCCAGGCTGGAGGGCAGTGGCGTGATCTCGGCTCATTGCAACCTCCACCTCCTCTCCCAGGTTCAAGTGAATCTCCTGTCTGGGACTACAGACACCCACCACCATGCCTGGCTAATTTTTGTGCTTTTAGTAGAAGTGGAGTTTCACCATGATGGCCAGGCTGGTCTCCACTTCCTGACCTCAAATGATCCACCCACCTCTGCCTTTCAAAGTGTTGGGATTACAGGCGTGAGCCACTGTACCCGCCAGCTACTTATTTACTATTGTGTGCCTTTCTTCATTGAATGAAGCCATCATGGTGGTTTTCTTATTTACTCTGTTAACACAGCGCAGCATAAGAATAAATTTTTTTTTTCTAACCTTAAAGAATTCCTGGCTCTCTTGGGATGAACC